ATATCGATAATACCAAAAATATATCGATAATATATCGATAATACCGAAAATATATCGATAATATACCGATAATTTTTCAAAAAATTTTTTGTTTATCTGTTTTTTCTTGCAAGCTCGAAAAAACAAAAGTAGAAATAACTCTTTTTTCTCATAAATTTTTCAGAAATATATTTTTCCAAATTATCTTTTTTTTTCGAATGTAATGAAAAAAAAAGAGGAAATGCCTTGGTATTTACATTCAGATGCCACTCCCCTATCTACTGAAAATATTCAGAATATTATTAAAGCCAAAAATTTAATGAAGCGAGCACCAGAAGCTATGGCTAATAAATACAAAATTTCAATACGACGAGTATATCAAATTTGGAGAGAGGATCATCTGCCAATAGATTCAAACTTTTTTCTCATAAATTCAGAAAAAAATTTGGATAACAAATCAATTCCACCCCTTGACTTTGTCAAGGAAGGTGGAATCAAAGATCAAGGGGCCGAACCAATTCTGTCTGAGCCAGGCTCTTTTTTCTTGCAAGCTCGAAAAAAAATAATTTGGTTAGCAAACTAATTCTGTCTTCGAGTGATTTATCACGAGAAGGCTGGAGCCAAGAAGAACTAATTGCATTTTACGAAAAAGAAGCTATTCGAGATAAAAAAAATATAGCTAAACTTAAATCTATACTATCTAAGTAGTTGATCCAGCTCATCATAGAATAATAAAAGCTTCTCACATTTCTTATTGAGAACTTCTTTAGCATTGAGAGTATCAAATAATTTTTTTTCAAGTTCGTCATAACTCATAGGTTTTTTTTTTTTCCAAAGTCAGATTGATTTCTAGCTCATCTTCTTTAACATAAGTTAAGACCGGCTCAGCCAGAATTGATTTGTTACCCAAATTTTCTCTTTTCGAACCGCCTTCTCTTGATAAATCGCTCAAAGTCAGATAAATTGGGATCCAGATAAATCAGTAACCCAGTTATATCTTTTTTCGAGCTTGTGAGAAAAAAGGAAAGGAAAAGAGCGGGACTTATGAACTGAAAGAGGTACAGTAATTACCTTATCTTTATGCATTAACTTGAATTCACGC